CCCCAAAACCCCAAAACCCCAAAACCCCAAAACCCCTTAATATAATATCAAAAATGCTGAGGAAGTAATAATAGTAGTAAATAAATTTAATTGATGTCGATATTAATTTAGTTATGTAGCTGCACTAAAGTATGCCTTAATTCATGTCCATTTGATATCTCTTCATAGATCGTCATCATAATCATCATCAATGTGTTTAATTTATCGGTTCTATTTTCTTGCTTGATTTGAATGCTATTGCTAACCTCCTCCATTATTATTCTTGATGGGTTATTGCTGCTATGTCATAAATATGTAATCATCACTTTCAGGATCTCCAGTGTTTTAAACTACGATTTCCTTTATTTCATCATTTTCTCGACCATAGAGAGCTGCCTCCATATCATCTTCGTCACCCTCTGAATCATAATCCTAATTCTCATCTCCGTAGTCCTCATCATCATATTCAATGCCATTTGAGCCCTTAAGTATATTATTGTTCTTCTTTCGATTTTATTCTTCTTGCTTGACCATTGATGTTTCATCCTCACTATCATTGTCTAGTATTATCATGTCTTTCACCTATTCACGCATTTCCTTCTTATCAATGATTTTTGACTCTTCAAGTGGCGGCAACTATCCCTAGGCCTAGAGTTTTTGAATCTCCAACACTTTGTCTAGATCCAGTTTATTGATTGGCACTTGCTTAGAACTGACTAGCGCTATTTCCTATGGCTTTGGTTTGTATTAAGGCACCTTGTTATCAAGTATGCTGGAGTCTTCCATGTCTAGCATTCTCACTAGTTCTGGGGACTTCTTAATGATCTTAATAAATTAATGCTCTCTCTCTTAAGCCATTCTTAACTCATACTTCATTCTTTTATTCATCTTGTGTAACTCTTGATTCTATTCATAAAGCACATTCAATTCACGAGCGAATTTCTTGATGTCATTTTCAGTATACATATTCTCTATTTCCTTCTCAAAGGTTTCTTACATCAAAAGAATCACCTGTTCCCTCTCCTCTAGTTTTTTCTTTGTTTATTCATTTGTTTTTCGCTGTTATTATGATAACTCTTATGCTAATTTAAGCTTTTCTTTAGTGAATAAGTTCTCTTTTTGAAGCTTGTCATAATCCTATTTTAAGATCTCATAAGCCGAGGGACTAATATTTTGCTAGGTCTATTTTTATGACTAAAATATCTTTATTTGCTCGTTTTGTATCTTGAAGCATTCCTTAAAAAGTTCTCTAAGTGGAGGATGATCTGGATCAACTAACATATTATCATCAGTTAAATTCATTAAGAAATTCTAAAATTCCTCAATAAGTTTATCTTTTTCCTAGGAGGAATTTGCAGATAATCTTTCAATGAACAAATTGAGGTCATGTCTGTAGGATTTAACCTTGAGTGAAAGTTTGCTGCTCCTTTATTTTTCAAAGGATGTCTATAGGTCAATACCAATCTCTTTAGTTTCAGGCCTCTGTCTTGCCTCCTCAATCTCTTATTACTACATAATCATCTGCTATTCTAGCTTGTTTATAATTAATTGCTGTTCTAGTATTTATTGTTGATGGAGCTCATCATCTAAACTTTGCATCATAGGTGTCTTAACTTGAGATTAAGCTCTTTTCTTATTTATTTTCTTTGATGAGCCATTATTATTTCCATTATTAGATTACTTTCTGTTGTTCTGAGTACTGGAGGAGTCTCTTTTACTTAAAGCTACCCCATTTCTTCCTATTATCTTCTATGAACTGAGATGCCGCCTATCAGTAGACTGATTCTTCCTCTTATGATTGCTTAGTTAATAATAATACTGATTGGTATCAGTGTTTTCTTGAGAGAGTTATTAAAGCTATTACTGAGCATACATATCTACTGGATTGCCATTTGAATAGAGCTGAAGAGTTTACTGGTGCTTTAGATTTTATAAAGTTTAGTGATTCAGATCCTAGGTCTGATTTAGCGATTATAGATAATTGGACACACTACTTTTGAACCCTATTCCCATTGCATGATGCTAGATAGTCTACTAGAGCTTATTATTGTTGTGGATAAATTTTATTAAATTAGATTGATTGCCAGCTAACTTAGTGTTATAAGGTGATTTAATTTTAACGTTATTAGAAGTAAGTGAGTAATTTTTCTTCATAAGTTTGGACCTATGTGAAGACTTCTAGTCCTTGTAGGTATCAATAAACTAATTATTAATCTAGAAAAGCTTTTATTAATTTTGCAGGACTTCTTGTTTTAAGGCTTTCTATTGAGGTGAGAGTTATTAGTTGTTATGGTAGTCTTCTCTTTGAAGACTATTAGAATGAGAGTAATCTTTTGGTGAGTCGATGAGATTTTGAATTCGATCTTGCGTTTTCTGAGATCTTTTAGATGAATCTTATCTAACTGAGGTCGATTTATCATCTTTATCATATGGCTTACTCATGTTTTATTCTTGTATAAGGTTGTTAATAATCTTAATGTTTTTCTGTTGATGTTAAGCATGGTTCTTATTTTAGGCAAAGATCGAAAATTGAGCGTCTGATTGATTTTTAACAGATTAAGGGATCATATATCTCACATCTATATTACTTATGCCACTATTTACATTTTATTTAATTTACTCTGATGAGTACATCTCCTAATAGCCTATACTGCCATTATGGTAGTTCTATACTCCACTGCCACTGCTATCTAAGACTATGTTTGTGAGACCATTCCCACTTCCAAATGAGGGATTGTCATGCTAAGTTCTTTTTAACTTTATATTTTACAGTAGAAGTTGCTGTTTCACTGGATGATTTGTTATAATCCTTTATGAAGCAACTTATGTGGATTGGCTCACATTATTGCTTGCAGTAGTAAAATCACCATTCGTCTTTATTGTCTAGTTATGGTTGAAGATAGGCTTGGCTTTCGAGTTCTGTACTGACTACTAAGAAACTCCACTTTTTACCCCTCCGCTTGTGGTAAGTGTATTTTACAGGGATTCCTAGAAATTTCTCTTGTTATTTTTGGGTGTGACCTGGTTGTTGTAAAATACATTAATGTTCTATGAAGCAGAACCTGGTTAGTTCTGTACCATTTGGGCTGAATTTTAGGGAATCATGTTTTAATGTGTTGGATGAATCTGTTTCTTGGTAAGATGATTTTTATTAGTATTTTATGCTTAATTTTAAATGAAGTTGTTGTTTTACGCAGAGTTAGCGGAAGACTTTGAATTAGAATCTTATGAATACTTGGATGCGGTTGTTTAGTACATGTTGGAATTATTCTTCATATGACCAGGACCTGTTCCTGCATTCATGTTATTCACTCCTCCTCCACTTGCATACAAATGATTACTCTAGGCTGAGCTACTGTCATTTTGATAATTTTAGGAATGATTAGAAACCCTCTTTGGTGATGCTGTACTTGAAGCGCCAGGTGGAATGCCAAATTGAATTCTACTTATCTGCTGTGCTGTCTATGATTGTGGATACTGATTCTGCCCATTAAAGTCCTAATCATTCGGCAAGTTCATTTTTTTCTAATGTTAATTTTAGAATTAATATGAAAAATGAGTACTTTAGATGATCCTATCCGATTAGTTGAAATCTTTTTAGTTTTTTAGGGCGAAGATATGTTTTCTAAATCATTTACATTCATCGGCATGTCTGTGTGTATATAGTTAGGATGTGTATTCATGTTTGCCTACTGATGCTACTACTATTAGAGAATTTGTTAATGGTGCTACTATTAGTAGATATTCTAGTTTTAAGTGAATAAGTTTGAAGCCATTCTTGAATTACGAATACGTTAAGTTATTAATTATTGTTTAATTCAATTTTTCTTAAAATATCCCAATTTCCTTTCATTTTAAAACCAACTCTTTTGCTTTATATTTTAGCTGCACGGGGTTTTGGGGTTTTGGGGTTTTGGGGTTTTGGGG